TTTGTTTTGGTTTTTTTTTTTGCTCAACAAAAAAATCCTTGGTGTTTCTCATAGAAAAAAATACTGTTTGGTGTTCCTTCGTCTTAAAAAGTTTAAGAAACACTGTCATACGCTGTTCTTCTGAAGACACTACTTAAAAGTGCTGTGGATTTTCTCCTGATAATCCTCTCTCTTGGTTATAGCTTCTCTTTCTCCTAAGACTGATTCCTTCCCCTTTCAGCTCCCCTCCACCTCACTTTTCCTGTTCTGACATCTCTGTGCTGCTCTGATACTGTGTGGATTTATTTTCTTGTTGCTCCCAATTACACTCTCCATTGCTCCTCTCTACCTACAAAGTTGCCTCCAAGCCTTTTCTTCCTTCTGTGATTTATTATTTATATTACAGAAGTACCTAGGGGCACCAGCTGAGATCAAAGATCAAGTCCCATTGTGCAAGGCACTGTAGAAATACATACTGAAAGAAATATTTAGAAATACATAGTAAGAGACAGTCCCTGCCTAGAAGTAATTATAGTATCAGGTCATGAGTCCATGCTAATTCAAATTGGTGCACATTGAAAATACCTGTGTGCACATGACACAAATCCTTAAATCCCTAAACTCCCTGCTTGGTGTGAATTCTAGTGTCTGCATGCAATATTTACTAAGTTTGATCCAAACTGAGTTACTGCAGACTGTTGTTTATGTGGACACACTGCTGCTGCTCATTATTTTGGTTGTTCTCCAACTGTTACCCCATGCTGCTTTGTAGTCAGAGGCGACTGATGAAGGTGGTCCTGGGAAGGGCATCAGCCATGTATCTCCCACCCTCTCCAGCCCGGGGAAGGGTTGGAATAACCTGCCCCTACCGCAAACCCTGCCTCAACTTGCCTGTGCTTCACCCCTTCCCTAACCTTGCTCTGATCCCTTGCCTGCCCCTGCTCTGCCCTTGCTCCACGCCTGCCCCACCTCTTCCTCCAGACGAGATCGCCCAGGAGACTAGCAAGGCCGGAGGGTCAATACCAGCAGTAGGAGTCGCGCCCTCCCATCTGCACCCTAACTCTAACCCTGTTATAGTTTGTGCCTTTCCACCATCCTTGGCAAAGAACTGACCAAGAAGAAATAATTTCTTTAGTTTGTTTTAAATCTGTTGCCTATAAATTTCATTGGGTGACCTTCTTGTTTTATGCCAATGAAAGAGTAAATAACATTTCCTTATTCTATTTTTCCACAGCATTCATGATTTTCTAGACCTCTGATATATCCCCCTCACCCATTAGTCATTTCTTTTCCAAGCTCAAAAGTCCCCGTCTTGTTAACCTCTCCCCATATGGAGGTTGTCCTTACCCCCTACTCATTTCTGTAGCCCTTTCTGTACCATTTCTAAATCCAATATATATATTTTTTAAATTTGTGTGACCAGATGTGCATGCAGTATTCAAGATAAGGACATACCGTGACTTTATAAAGAGGCAATATGATATTTTCTGTTTTATTCTTGATCTGTTTCCTAATGATTCCCAGTATTCTGTTAGCTTTTTAGATTGCCACTGGACATTGAACAGATGTTTTCAGGGAACTATCCACAATGATTCCATGATCTCTTCTTTGAATAATATCAGCTAATTTAAACCCTATCAATGTTGTATGCATATTTGGGATCATATTTTTCCATGTACAGCAGACTTCCGATAATCCGGCACCTTTGGGACCCAGGGGATGCCAGATTATCGGATATGCCGGAGTATCAGGAGGTACTCCGTCAGGGAGGCTGTGACGAGTCTGGGGGGATGGTCGGGCGGGGTATGGTGCAGCATGGGGCCAACACGGCAGCACCCCAACCCGGAAGCCATGGGGCCAACTTGAGCGACGCTGCGGGACCAACCCAGCAGCACCCCAGCTGCTCTGCTCCGCGCTGCTTCCCCAAGTCCGCAGCTGGTCAGTTTCAGCAGCGGCCTTGGGGAAGCGTCGCAGAGCAGCTCCAATTGTCCGGCTGGACTATTGGGAGTGCTGGACTACTGGATGCCAGACAATTGGAGTTTTACTGTATTTTACTTTGCACTTATCAACACTGAATTCCATCTGCCCTTGTGTTGCTCCTGGATTCCAATATATCAGCATTGAAATGATATTACTCCACATTCCTCACCACCTGCATCACCCAGTTTTGTGAGATTCCTTTGCAACTCTTTGCAGTCAGCTTTGGGCTTCACTGTTTTGAGAATTTTGCCACCTCGCTGTTTTCCCCTTTTCCAGGATCATTTAAAGGTAAGTTGAACAGAACTGGTTCAAGTGCAGATCCCTGGAGCACACCTTGTGGCACTTTGTTTACCTAAAAGGTCCATAGCCACTGAGCCTCACAGCTCCCAATAGCTCCATTTCCAGCCAAGGCGTGCCGACTAAAGCCCCCCGCCCCATCCCTTGATATTTGTAGCAGGATGCTGCTTGCTGTTCTCCTTCCTGTCACTGTGTGTGTGCCTTCCCCAGCTTTGGGGGTGAAATTGACCAGATGCCTGTCTCCCTTTTAAAAGTGGGCACAAGGTCAAGTTTGACTCATTTGCTCTTGGATTCCAGTATATCAGCATTGAAATGATATTACTCCATTTTCGTCACCACATGCATTGAGCAAGCCCTTGGATCCTTTTGGTGAGATCTTTGATCTCCTCACCATGTGGGGAGAAGTGATGACCACTGCAGAACAATAATACTGTTCAAGGAGATCTCAAAGTAGATACCCAAAACAGATCACAACTTGGGTGCCCTCCATTGCCATAAAAAGGGCAAACAGCTAAGCAAAATATACAGAGCAATCAGCAAAGACCTGTCCTTTGTATGAAGGGTAGACAGGCTTTTTAATCTAATTCCCTTGTGGAAACTTGAGGCCCTGATGGTGAGCAAGAGTCACTGGAAGAGGAGGAGGACGGGGAAGAGACTCCCTCAATAGCCAGGACATAGGGGGCTGTAGAAGAAACCAACTTCATTCTCAGCCTGCCACATACAGGGCCGGCTTTAGGCCAATTCGTCCGATTTCCCACTTGGGACATTGTTCCCCTGCCGCGGCTGGTGGGGGCGGAGAGAGCTGGGAATTTAAAGGGGCTGTTACTCTGTGTGTGTGTGTGTGTGTGTGTGTGTGTGTGTGTGTGCGCGTGTGTGTGTGTGTGTGTGTTCGCGGGGCTGGTGGGGGCGGAGAGAGCTGGGAATTTAAAGGGGCTGTTAGTGTGTGTGTGTGTGTGTGTGTGTGTGTGTGTGTGTGTGTGTGTGCGTGCGCGCGCGCACGCACAGGTGGCTTTTGGTTTTTTTTCCGCTTTTGCTCAACAAAAAATCCTGGCTGCCGGGGCCCCATCGAAACTGTTTGAATCGGGCCCCGCACTTCCTAAAGCCGGCCCTGGCCACATAGGTGGTAGACTCTTCAGAGCTTGTCAAGGGAGCCTTAGAAGATAAGTGTGTATTTTCTATCAGTACAGTTTATTATTATGCTATATTGCTGGGCTAACTTCCACTCTGGGTGGCCAAAGACTGCTGCCATTTTGGACAGATGTGAGCTAAGAATTGTGTTTTATGTTTTTACAAACACTATGAGCAAAATTTATGTTTTATTTTTGTCTGATATGTACTGGCATAGCTTGTGTAATGAAAACCATGGAAAAGTTGCATAAAATCTGCAGTGCATGCGCAGTACACTGAAGAAATGCAGGTTTTCAAAAGGAGTAGGATTTCACATAAGTATAAAAGCACAAAGTATAAAAGACAAAATAAAGAGTGCAATAACATGCCACTGCTACCAACCATAAAAGCAAGTGTGCTTTAAAATAGGCAATTATTTAATCGTTCTTGCATTCATATTTGCTTATAGCTCACCTAGGAATGGGAATGAATTACTGTTTAGTGATTTTATCATTATTGGGCCTAGCAGAATGGTACTGTATTAACAAGATGAAAGTCAATTGGAATTCACTGTCTTTGCAATAACAAGAAGTCCTAATAGGGAAAAAAAAAGTGGGATATTACTTCTCCCAAGCCTCAGTTCTGCAAACAGGTATAAATAATTGTACTCAGGTGAGTAGTCCCACTGAAGTCAATACAGGCTTGAACCTCTAAGCATAAGACTCCCACGGACTCCAGGAGTGAATCTACTTGCTTCAATAATTCAGATATGTTGCTACTGCGAGAACTGACATATTGCAGATATAAACCATCAGAAAAATCAGCAGGGCTGGGTTTTACATTAAATATTTTGGATATCCAACCTGAAATGAGATTTTGCCTTTATAGGTGTTTTAATTTTGTACACATGCTCAGAGCTTGAAGGTGGTTAGTATCTGGGGATGGGGATGCACCACAAGTGGTGACTCAGGGACAGGACTACTCATTTTTAAAGTTACAGGCTAACGTCGCTACTCCTTTGAGACTTTTTAACTACAAGATAGTATGTCCCCGTGGTACAGACACTAGTGCGTTTTTTTTAACGAGACCAAAGCTGAGTTCAGGGTTAACTATATCTATTCAGCATGTACACACTTTCATTTTCAAAAAGGAAGAAAAGAGTGTTATCACTGCTAATATGCTAATTTAAAAAATGTCCACTGAACACACAGCATTAATAAAACATGGTGGTATAGTTGAATTGTCCCTGTAGCGAAGTTTGAGAAAGGTGAATGCAAATTACTCCCCGCCGCTATCACTGTCACCAAAAAACATTCACATTCTTATGCAAAAATACTCCCATGCTCATCTCTGAAATAACATGTGTGCTAGACTTTAACCCAGTGTTCACTGCAATCAGGCAATGAACGCAGTCTGCATTCTGAGCCTGTTCTGTCTGCGTCTCCCCTCTAGCTTCCTTCTCTCTCAGCAAAAAGAAATACCCCAACTCAAATCCAATCTCAAAGGCGATGGCTAAAAACAAGCAACCTTATTCATATGAATGAGGCTGTTTTCGTGAGTGTAAATGCGGAAGCTGCCACCACCAAAATATTTAGGAAACTGGTGAAAGGAAATCGCCTCCTTGTAGCCTAGAAACTAATTCAAGCATTCAGCTTGGTAGCAGCTACTTCACTGAGCTGTGGCCACGATGCAGCACCTAAAGGAAGATCTGACTACTCATGAAGAATCAGATGATGTCTTCTGTGAAGGTAAAGAGCCTTTTATTAAGCGGAACTTCTTAATATACTGACTGAAGGCCATTTGCAGCTTGTATTCTCTTTTCTGTGGTAAAAGTTTAAGTTCCCCACTGGCTCAGGACAGCCGCAAGGCTCACAGTGATAGGTTGGAAAAAGTCTTTCTTTCATTTTCTTTGTAAAATAATGGGAACAACAGCTTTGTGGGTGCAATACAGTGAGGGAGATTCATATTAACTAGGCAGGCAGGTTACACAGCAAGGGTGTTAGTTTGAAGGGGGAGCAAAAACAAAAGTGCATTCTTTGCTTCAAAAAATTGCAATCTGCAAAAAAAGCTACTGCAAAAGGGACCCGTCCTTAGTGATTGATACTGTACTGTGGGCATGATTCACCACGGCCCTAATTTTAGACTGTCACAGGCACCAGTGCCAGGTGTGTGCAAAAAGCAAGGAAATGATTAAACCCCCACTTCTCACTCACTCTCCACTGGTGTAAGGGATTATACCAAATGGAAGCCACTGAGAATCAGGTCACAGATTCTCACTCTTCACCCTCTGCTCCCCACTGGCGTAGAAATAAAGGACTTGATCCTGCAGATGCCCTCCCTGCACGGAATTCCTGTGTTTTCCACAGGAGTTCAAGGCACAGAGTGTTTGCAAGACTTTAAACTCAGTTGTAATGTAGTTTCCGCAAACTCAGTTTAAATAGGAATTTGACTGGTAACTTGAGATGAGGCCAAACCAAGATCTTTTAGCCTGAGTAAAGACTAGAGCAGAGGGGAGAACACACTGTAAAATCCTGCCTTCAGTGACGTGCCTCCCATATTTCAATAGGTTTCCCACCCCTTATGCTGTGACATATCTGGGGTGACCCTGCATCCCGTTTAATGGGACAGTCCTATATTCAAGCCTGCTTCCAGGTGGCCCACCTTTTCTAAAAAAAGGGGCAAACTGTCCAGTAATTTTTGCTCCCCCACTGATCAATCAGCAATGAGTGCAGCACCAGCTACCACTTGTTTGCAGCCAGCGGGGGAACGTGGGCAGGCAGTAGCAGGCCAAGGAGTGCACGTGTTGGCGTCAGGCTGGGTCAGAAGAAGCAAAGGAGAAGAGGCAGCTCTTGTGTAGGAGAAGGGGCAGCCCTGCTGGATGATGGAAAGTAGGAAGGTGTGTCACCTAAAGCAGAATAATGCTTCTCCTCTCCCTCCCTTCTCCAAACATGTCTATTAAGATCCACAGATACCTACAAATGTTGAAGGTCAGACCCACTACAAAATCCATCGTGTCCTAGAGAAAAGAATTAGGAGGAAATACAAATTCCATGTTACCAGTCTCCAAAGGGACCTATGTCAGCATGCATGCGTTTACTAGAATTCTGTGTTCCTGTGCAGTAATGGGATACTGCAAATACCTATAGCTTCATAATTATACAAAAAAAAATGTCCAAAATTTCCCTTTTTATGCTGTGATGAGGAATTTCTATCACAGGCTAGAGAGGTGACCTGCAGCACATGGTGTGACAGCTAGAGTTCAGCCTGAAGAGGTATACAAATATAGATTTTTAAGGACAGCATGAATCACTCTGACCATCTGGTGGGGCCACTGGCCCAATACAGGCTGTAGGGTTTCTCTGAACTAACTGTGGTTTCAAGCCCAATAACTGTGGTTGAATCAGATCATAACTTACAGAAAGACATCCAATCCTTTTTTAAAGATTTCCAATGGTGAAAAATATACATCATTTGGTAAATTGTTCCAGTGGCTAATCACCCTTACTGCTAAAGATCTGCATTTTATTTTCAGTCTGAATTTGTCTAGCATTGTCTGTCTAGTAAGAACCCTATTATCAAATTCTTGCTCCCCATATAGGGGATCAAGTCACCTCTCAACTTCTATTTGGTAGGCTAAAGAAGTGGAATTCTTTGAGCCTGTCACTATACGCCTGGGGTGAGCAAGACAGCCACTGCAGGTTGGATCCAGCCTGCCAAGCCAGTTGATCCATCCGATGGCCGTCCTGCCGCTCCCCCACCCCAGGCTAATCGAGACCTGGGTACAGTGGGAGCACACAAAGTCTCCTTCTGCCACCGGGGCATGCAATACCTAGAGTCAACCACCGGCTATTCAAAACAGCTGTCTTGCCCTCCCCTGGATTATAGTCACAGGCTCAAGGAATTCCATCTATTTAGCTTATCAAGTAGAAGGTTGAAAGGTGACTTGATCCCCTATATGGGCGGTTCTTTCTAGGCACCCCGTGCTTCTTGCAGGGTGGGGGTAGGGGACTAGAGATTTCAAGCCTGATTGGCTTGGGGGGGGGGGGAGGGCGCAAAATCTCCGCCCGCCACCAGGGGCGGTTCTGTAGGTACTGGAGGAGGGTGGAGGGGCAAAGACTTTATGCACTTCCCCCCTCTAGGCCAATCAAGGTCTGTGGGGAAAAAGCATGGGGGTGGCCCCGCCCCTTCTTCCTGAGGTCCCATCCCTTCTGGGGAAGCCCAGGACTACTTCAGAAATTTGTGAAGTGCCCCCCCCCCTCAAAAATTATTTCCCACCCTTGCTTTAAGCCATATTTTCCAGTCTCAAATCATTCTCATGGTTCTGGCCCCACTCCAATTTATCAATAACCTTCTTGGCAACCTTCTGGACATAGTATTCCAGTAAGAGTCACTGCTGATTGTGGTTAACAGGACGGCTATGTCTACACTGGCATGATTTTCCGGAAATGCTTAAAACGGAAATAAGTATTTCCGGAAAAAGCGCGTCTACATTGGCAGGATGCTTTTCCGGAAAAGCACTTTTTCCAGAAAAGCGTCCATGCCAATGTAGACGCACTTTTCCGCAAAAAAGCCCCGATCGTCATTTTCGCGATCGGGGCTTTTTTGTGGAAAAGACTACTGTGCTGTCTACACTGGTCCTTTTCCGGAACAGTTTTCCGGAAAAGGACTTTTGCCTGAACGGGAACAGGATAGTTTTTCCGGAAAAGCATTGATGATTTTACAGTACATCGTCAGTGCTTTTCCAGAAATTCAAGGGGCCAGTGTAGACAGCTGGCAAGTTATTCCGGAAAAGCGGCTGATTTTCCGGAATAAGTGGCCAGTGTAGACACAGCCCTGTAGTGTTAACAAAACTAAAAAGGAGTCCGCTTTGTTTTTTAGTTCTAGGGGCCACAATAAGATAGTAAAAGACATCTGCTCATCCTGATTCCCCCCCCACCTCTGACTAAAGATGGTTAAGATTCTCATCTTGTGACAACGGCAGTATTACTTGTAGCAGTGCATTAAGCTCAGTGTTTTAAGTAGAAATGACTGCTTCTTTAATGATGGTATTTTTTAAATAATTAAATCAGGGAAATTTTTCTGCACGGTTATGTCCCTCTTTTTTAATTAAAGATCTTTGATCTGACTTTCCCCACTCTGCCTTGATGCCAGCCTAACTGATTTGCATGGTTGACATTATTTCGGGATGGATAATAAAAGCAATGAGAAAATCAGGCCACATGAATTAGAAGCATTTAACCAGCCTTCTGAGAAGAGAGCAAGGTACATATGGGCCAGTGAAACAACTTACTAGATAAGTTCAGACAACATTTCAAGCTGCCGGAACAAGTGTCTTGTCAACATTTAAACCAAAATTTCCTTTCCTTCTTATCAGCTTTATCTAATATTTATAGTTCCTTGTCTCACTTTACAGTTCAGTAAGAAAATATAAGGGCTGAGTGTCAAATCAAATTATTAAAGTTATAAAACAAAGTGTGAATGATTAAAACAGCATATATAACTTTATCCCTTTAACATTCAGTGCACAGTTTCACAGCCTGCTGTGAATGCACACCCACACAGACACATGCTAACTATGCTTTTGTGGTTGATGTATTAAAGGTGTGGCACTCAAACCCACTAGGCCAGGAAGTTGAGAGTTAAGGCTAATGCTTATCTCATGTTTGTGTGGAACTGGATAATGATACAACAGCATGAGTTAAAGATGGAGGGTAGAACTGTTAAACACTAGAGGCTACGTCCAGGAGCCGCGGGGCAGCGCAATCGGCGCCCCTGCCTGCACGGCCGTCAATGGCTGTGATGTCATCATGGGGGGCCCCGGCGCCCCGTGATGTCATCATCGGGCGCCTGGGCCAGCGGCGCCCTAGGCAGCTGCCTAGCTCGCCTAGGCTCACAGGCTGCCCCGGCTATGTCTACACTGCACACTTTTTGCGCAAGAACGATTGTTCTCACGCAAAAACTTGCAGACCGTCTACACTGCACACACGTTCTTGCACATGTAAATTTACAGTACAGCGTCGGAAAGGAGGGCTTCTTGCGGAAGAGTTATTCGTTTCCCCACAATCAATAAGCCTTTTTGCACAAGAGCTCTTGTACAAGAAGACAGTTTGGACAGGCAATATGGATTTCTTGCGCAAGAGACCCCTATGGCTAAAATGGCCATCAGAGCTTTCTTGCGCAAAAAAGCGTCCACACTGCCATAGACGCTCTTGTGCAAAAGTACATGGCAATGTGGACGCACTCTTGCGCAAGAACTTTTGCACAAGAACTGTTGTGCAAAACAGTTCTTGCACAAGAAGCCTGCAGTGTAGACATAGCTTAGACAGTGTTAAAGTGGCAGATAAATGTTGAAAGTGAACCCTGGCTCACAGAGCTATTTAAACTGATCCCATAGAGTTTAAGTCGAAATTTCAAAACGTGCAAGCTACAGGTTGCATCAGAGGAGGGCAACTGAGTTAGTCAAGAGATTTGAATATGGTTCCCATTATGGCTTCAGTTAAAACAATCCCATTTAAGTCTTTAGAACATTTTACATGCAATATAGGAGAAGGGTAGTTATTTACCAAACAATCACCTATTTTCTTGTACCCAAATTATAGTAATTTTTCTAGAGGAAAACTGGTGAGATTGAAGTGCTCATGAAAAACTGGATGCAACAACCTGAATTGTGAACATTTGTGAATTAAAAACAGGCGGACTCTGACACAGTCTAACTTAATTGCCGTTAGCCTGGCAATTAAAGGGTTCA